TTGTCCGCGATTCAGAATTGAGGTGTAATTTGAATATATTATGGAAAAAAATCCACTGGTGAGCCAGAAAATGCAAGTCAAATTATACAAAATACGTTTCTTCCTTTTCTGAGAAATATTATTTGCTAGATGGTTGTACATAGGGCCAATCTTTAGGAGTTGAGATAATAAGGTTATGTTCAAATTCCCGAAAACTTAAGAAAACATTCGTTTACCTGGGTAGTATATATTTATGCTGAGACATGAGAAGATATATTTACATACTAGAAAAGGAAAGACTAGTTAGCCCGAGAGTTGAAGGCGGGTGAAAATACATTATCAGTGCAGCGCTAGTTTCGAAAGGAAAAAAATTATCTCTCTCTATATATATATAGATAGATACGTGTATATATATATATATATATATATATATATATATATATATATATATATATATATACAGATAGATATGTAAATATATATATTGCAGATGTACATTTTATTAGATCAATAAAAGATGATATAATAAAACAATTATTAACAAAAAAGTAACAATACGTAACAGAAAAGTTTGATAACAAATATTTATATTGGCGGTAATTGGTAATACCGAAATCTAAAATCGATTTAAGAAAACTTATGTTTTTTCTTATATCACTCACTAGAGAGAACAAAAAATACGAACAGTGAAAAAAAAGGATTCTCCTGATTAATGGTATATGCACACACATACTTAATTTTCTATTCCTTGTGCTTAAAAAGTTTGGCTGGTAGGACTTAATGTATATTCATTCCCAATTTTTGAATTCGTAATCGGCACTAACTCTGTTCCACACTAAGAACGTCTTTGCTATAAGGGTGGGCACAGTGCTGGTTTTTAATCAAGTGCTCAGCTATCTCTGAATCCGATACAGTGATACAAACACACACGTGTGTTTGAGAGAGAAGACTATTAGAAATGTTGATAATATGTGTAACATTTTCAATAATTTTGTTAAATAGTAAAGATTAGTCAATTTTTGTCTGCAACATGAACGCAACAAAATAAAATATTAACTTTATTGTTCAACAAATGTATTTTTTTCGATTTTATGGCGAAAGTAAATTAAATATAAAAGAAATAATTACACGATGATTTTTGTTATTTTAAAAATAAACCTAATGTGAAATTCTGTTTATTTCTTTCTCTCGATGGAAAGAGAACTTGATAAATCTACAACGATTACTTATTGATCTGAAATAAACTCAGTATTTCTTTCTAGCTGGAATCTGAAGAAACAAAACTTTTATCTGATGTGTTCTATAACAATGTATCAAAGTTAAAGTCTTTCTAGAAAATCTTCAATAAAGTCTTAAATAAAAAGCCGATACTACATTCAATAAAACAAACGAACCTTCGGATAGAAACTCTGAGTTGGCAGAGTTTGGGGTGCAGATAACGGCGACACAGATCATAATATAGGATTTAGGATTGCCATTATAAAAGTTTGTATCGGAAGGTCTGTGTGAATGCGTGTTTGTAATGCCGGGATTACTGTGGCTGAAAAGACGTGGTCTATTGACGTACGCGGCCTTATCATTGGCTGCTAGCCTTAGTGTAATGGCGGTGAGGGTCATATGATTTACTTCGCTTTTGGCTGGTGGTGAAACAATCTGAATAATTAGGAAGTCAGAATATGGGAAAGAAGCCCAAAATGAATAGAGACGCAGCCGGATATAACATTTCCGTGCTGAAATGTTAGCCATGTTGAAATCTCCTGCTGCTGTCAACGTCCAGAGGCAAATTTTTCGAAGCGAAATGGAAAATTTATGCTTATGGACAGGATTAATATGAGTAGCTCACTTGCAATATTCGAATTATAGTTGATAAACATACATACATACATACATATATATATATATATATATATATATATATATACTATCAGCATGGCCCGGCGTTGCCCGTGCTTGATTCAAAAATCGTACCACTCATACAGCAATCGCTATCACTTGACTTAAAATATGTTTGCCCTTCCTTGCCTTTAAAGGAGTGCCCTTTGTCGTGCTGATGTTGCTACATGCCTTACTTCTTGCCTATCTCACACTGTGAAATGTTTCTAAGCTCTATACTAAACATTAAATCTCTTATGAAAAAAGAACTAAACAAAGAGAAGACAAAACGATCAGCTTTAAAAAAGGAGTCATAACTGGAAAAACCGAATGAAAAAACAATGTTAACAACAAATACTTTTTAACACCCAACCCAGTTTCCTGAAATATTGAGACTGGTCATACAACTTGTGCGGGGTTGTTGTTGCCCTTGTTTTGTTAACCCGGTACTTTGGAAACCATACATTGATCCGATTTTCAGTTCAAATAAAAAGAGCTCAAAAGTGTTTAACAACGCGATGTCAACTTCACAGAGTCCAAAATGAGGTGAAAAGCTGAGATATACTGGGCCGCGTAGTGCAGGAGAGGCATTCAACTTAAAACACCCAAAATCCGTATCACCTGTGAGTTAAACAGTTTATTTTTTACAAAGTTTGAGTCCAAAATAAAAAATCGGACTCCGGCATTAAACAATGACGTAAATTGAAAAATCGGATCTGGGATGCGGCCTATTGAAAGATTGTGGTGAAGAGGTGGCGCAAAGCAGAGGCCATTTTTAAAAAAGCTCCCTTAGCCATTTTAGCATCCCACTGGCTGTCGTCTTCCAAAATGCCGAAACGGAGGCAGGCCTGACGAAAAGTGTCACATAAAACTCCATTAACCGTCCGTTAGTTATTGTAGTTCGTTGGACCACCAACTTCCTGCAAAAGGTGTAGCAAGTGAAAACATTCCTATTGCGATGGGGAAACCGTGAATACCCTTCCGAGTGTGGCGTCTTTTTTGACACCTGGATAGTCCCAGACGTTGGCCCGCACTTCCGCCTAGCCTAGGTGTTCTTTTTTGTCCACACGTAGTATGAAGGCACGTCTAGGTACAGTCGAGTTCTAGCAAACTCTTTCTGTCGACAAAGTTTGAAGAACGCTGTAACCGTTGTGTCTTTGGTACGCGCAGCGACTTCCATTGCTGTATCCGCAGAAAATTAACGAAGTTCGTCGTTTTCTAAGTGCACAGCAAGCTGGACGATTTCTGGGAAGCGTTCGTGGATGGGGAAGCTGAAAATGCACCAAGGGCCCTCTGTGCTGCTAATGACGCACACTGCAAGGAATCCTGGATTTCGTCCAAGAAACCTTCCTGCCTAATACCAAATATTGCAGCATCAGTCCCTTTTTTGATGTACTTGCATAAATACTTGATGTGGCGAACTGAATGTCAATATTCGACATTGATGTGCGCATTGAACGCTTTTGCCAGCAGGGTACAGTATGACACTACCCATCTGTTATCCACTTGGTGGCCCTTTACCACGGCTGGAAATCTTCCCTCAGCGGGACTCCTTAGCCGGTACAGTGGATAAACATTGCTCACTGCAATGGTTTCGCTCACGATTGGTTGTCACTATTTCTTACAGTTCAGGGTCAGCCGACGGATCAAGAATTTCAGCAGAAATAAAATGATCGATTTCTGTGGCCCCAATCTTGTCGCACAGCGAAATTAGTATATGTACGTGAGGCAGGCCGCGTTTCTGCCACTCAAAAGTGTGCGTGCGACAACAAATAGCCCCCAAAACCTGACCCTTTGTAATCACATCCATTAGCTTCAGATGATAAACGCACGCAATGAGATCTGGAGGGTCGTAGGCCGATTGCCCTGGCATAATTTCTTTAGCAATTGCGTAACATTTTTGGTTACACGTGAAAGTTATGTATAGGTCTGGTCGGTCGTACTTACGAACCTATGTCATCGCGTCTTGCGTCCTCGGGTGCATGTATCGTGTACTGCCTGTGAACGTTGCAGGTAGTATGCACATCTTGCCTATATTGCGTGGATCAGCATCATTTCGTAATGCATCACGGAGGTGAATGTAAGAGACGCAGCGCAACTTGGTCTGATTCAATCTGATGTAACAGTCTTTTTGATTCCATCTTAGCAACCATGTCTACTATGAAATGATAGAAAAGTTGCCGGCTTCAATGAAGATGATTGAATGCACCCTCATGTACCATCAATAGGTAGGCGTAGAAAGCTCTGCAAAACACTGATTTTAAGGTGGACCCATTTTGCAGAATGTCAAAGTGGTACCTATCTTTTCCGTAAAGGAGGAGAAGTGGATATTTCAGTGCGTCGTAGGCCCAGTGCGTTTCACTGATTCTTCAAAGCCCACTGCCGCGCGATTCGATAACAATTGCACGTCTGTTGTTCTGATAGCCGCTGACACTGACGGAAACTTCGTTGCTTGCGGGAGCATTGTAACGACGTTCGTGCACACCCTGAGGCCGTTTGTCAACATCAGTTACAATAATGAAATCAGAAGAAGTGTAATTTTCGAGTGCATACTTAAAAATGCGGACATAGCTGTTTGTCTCGTAAAGCATTTGTTGGAGACTCATTATGATATACACGCGAGGATGATTGTCCTGGCCTGTATCGTTCTCGGGAATAATGCCCATGTGGCCATCTGCCTCTTGATTGTAGTCAGCTTTGAAGTATATTTGGAGGAGACACAATCCGGTGGTATATTTGTAGAAAGGCCTACTCATTGGTAGTTTCCCGCAAAAGAGACCCAATCCGGTGGTAAACTTGAACTTGAACCTTGAAGGTGGGATTACAACCGAGTTCGCAGAAGGCATTACCACCAAAAGAGGTCATCTGGAAGGCACAATTGTACTGTCTGATTTTGGCGAGGAAATGTTTCGAGTCTGGCCTGGAACCCTCTCAACAGAGCTTTCATCGGAGCAGGTAGCTCTTGAAAAGGTGGCAACTGTATCTTACCGTCTGAACAACCCAAACCTGCAGACTCTCCAGGCCATTTTGGGGCATTGCAATGCCCACAGACAACTGACATGGATTCTATTTTGAGATCTTAGCAAACGGAAAGCGTCAAAACTGGCTCATAGTTGAACGCCAGCTTAAACCAAAACTGCTGTGATGGGCTAGAGCCCTCGCTGTGCATGGTGGCGCTGGTTGACAGTCTGCAACCTTTCAAGCCTTTCAGTACGTCCTTCTACAGCTCTAGCAGCGGAAGTTGAAATTGCATCGCGTTGCCACCTTGTTCGCTTTTGCGCGGAACTTTCCGACACAATTGCAGAAGTTGCAGCGGTCTCGGATGCTTGGCGTGCGGTTTTCTCAGCCTTAGATTCGTGGGACCGTCGAATGAACGTTGCCGCAGATTTCGCTGCGTTACGTGCGGTTTTCTCAGCCATGGTCTCCTGAAACCATCGAATGTAATTTGCAGCGGCGTCGGCTGCATTGTGAGTAGCTTTTCGACGCGGGCTCTGTCGAGACCGCAAAAGCGCTTGTGATGAAGCTGCTTTTTTGTTGTCTTGCAAGCGTTTAGTTAGTTTACTCTTACTTTCCAACGAATATGTGTAAACTGATTTGCAGTACAAACGGTAGCTACGCTCACCAAGCGTTTCATGTGACAAAACAAACTGCCTCCGTTGAGATTGAAAGGGAAGCCTCAAAGAGAACTCTACCCGCACCGATTGTCGATTTGCACTCTGTGTGTTGGGTGCTCAGAGTTGAAACTTCACATGGTGACTACCAGTGCCCTCCACATAAATACGGTCGGTTTTCGCTATAAACCGACGTGCGGTTTAGGCGCAATCTGGGCGTATCTGTTTTTGGGTTTTATCGATTTTCCTCGCTGTTTAGGTGTCCGTGGTCATAAAACTTCTGGACAACTCTTCTAATGGTAGACTCTAAGAGGGTGTCAAATTTGTTTGAAATGCGACCATTCCTTCTGTAAGCAGATTTTTTCGATTATCGATTTTTTCGATTATCGATTTTTTCGGATCATAAGTTCGAACTCAAAAATCGGGCTCCGTCGTGTCCTTACGTGTCGAAAACCGCATCGAAATCGGGTGAGAAATGCGGCCTGGACGAGGTAACCACCCCCTCGACAGACACATAGACAGACAACATGAGAAACAGAGATAGTAGATATGAAAGGGAATTAGTAAAAAAATGAGTTTATATCCAAATTTGCATATATATGCAGTATCGGTGCAAGGATCACGTAAACCCCTTCTCCTAGAACATGAACCTCTTACTCTGTACTACATCTCAAATTTTGTAAGGTAGTTTTCGTATAAAATGCAAATTTTATTGTAAGCTGATTATGCACAATAATCCACACACACACACACATATATATATGTAAAATAACGGGGTTTGCTAAATTGTAGTAAGTTTTTCCATTTATGATTAGTAAATATAGCTTTGACTTAATAAAATATCTCCAGCATGTAAAAAATTAATACAGAATTTTAAAAGATTTATTTTTTTATTCTAAATAAAATCTAAAAAAAAAATTAAAAATATTATAAAAATTCATTATTCATCGAAAACATTTTTCTCCAAAAATACTGTCCAAAATTTATCGTATACATATAAACAATTAAAAGATTTACTAAGTAAATAATGCTTCAGTTTTATTTAGGTACCTTCCCTGATTCGCTAAAAACTTAACACACCATGAAAGAAAATGCCAGTGACTTAACGAAAACATAGTTTTATCGTCAAGATTTTTATGTTATTATTAAAAGATCCAACCATTTTTACTATTAAGTTACATTTTTTATCCTTTTGTGGCTAAATATCATGTTTTTCTTGGTCTGCAGGAAAACCAAAAACTAGCATAGTAAATGCTAGCTTCTTTGTGGCGATGTAAAACCCACTGATTTTGAAATTCTTGAGAAAATGGAAAAATTTAAAATAAAATTTTATGACTTATTCACAAGTGAATAAAATCGATAATTCATTTTTAGAAAATCTTTGAAAAATATATATTTCTTTACATCTTTTTTCTCACTCATTGTTTTTATTTTTTTAAATTTTAATTTGAATAATTTATAAAGTTTTATATTTTTTGATTCTGTATTGATATGTACCCATTAGATGATATTCTTATTAAATAAAAAGTATATTTACTAATCATAAAATTACTACTATTCATCGACCTGTAATATTTTTAAAATAATTTTAAATTGTGTGCGTGTTTGTGTATAAACCAGCAGATTTTTATAAATACAAACCTACATAACTAAAAAGTAGGAAACGCGATATCTAAGGTAAAAATGAAAAACCTGTATTGAATCTTTTATTTTACTTTTTATTCCAAGCTAACAGATTAAATTTAATATTCCCATAAGTACAATACGGTTTCTGGAGAAACAGATAGATAGATAGATAGATAGATAGATAGATATACTCCGAAATATAGTATGTGGAAAGAAGAGATAAAAATGCAAGAAGAGTATATATTAAAATATTCTGACAGAGATATACCTCGATCTTTAATGAGATAAATGTACGTGTCTGCAAACATCCTAAGTCTCAAGATAACAGGGAGAAAACGATGGCATTAACATTTACAGGGTCCATACAACAGGCAGAACCACATTGTTATTGTGGCATCTAAATTTCCACTCACAGAAACAGATATTCGATTAGATGAAACATCTCTAATAAAATGATTGAGAGCTCTTCAGAAACTAGAAGTAACTTGCTCCATTGCTAACGTGTGGGTAGCATTAGCACGAAATTCAGCTGCTTAACAGCGAGAAAATAAATGGTGACTAGAGTCGATGTGTTGCATGGTTTAGCGAGTGACTTCAATGGCATCATTTGCCGTAATGACGCAAAGAAGATAAAGTGGTCGATCGGCTGCAATAAATGGGTGGCCAATTCCCTGGCTGATGGACTATCGGGATTGGTACCTGCGAAATGCGAACCACTGGAAGACTCGGTAATAGCGGCGTTGCGAGCTGAATATGAAATCAGTAAAGTGTTACATAATACAGTAAAGGAACTACCTGTGACTTTTCTAGAGATAAGAAGAGAAGCGGATGAATTTATTCAGAATGCCAAGAAAAAATAGAAGAAGAAGAAAGGAGTTTAGCGGACAGCTTTTCAATTTGTGACAACATATTATTGTATAAAGAGAGAGTCGTAATACCGAAATCGTTACAAAAGCGGATCTTGAAGGACTTTCATTTAGGACGTCCGGGAAAAAACCGGATGAAAGCACTAATGAGAAGTTTTGTTTACTGGCATAATAAGGACAATGATATTACACAAATGGTGGAAAGGTGTAAAGGCTGTGCTGCTGCAGGAAAGGCACCACGTACTATACAAAAACCATGACCTAAGGTGGACAGACCATGGTCCAGAATTCATGCGGACTATGCAGGACCCATAGAACGTCTACTACTTAATAACAGTAGATAGCTTTAGCAAGTGGCCAGAAGTTTTCAGATTTAAAAACTCGACGACGGAAAATACCATAAATTGCCTGCATGAATTATTTGCGAGATTCGGCGTCGTGGACGACTTATTAACTGATAATGACACACAATTCACCTCCAATGACTTCCAAGAATTCTGTGAGACTTACCAAGTAAAGCATATTAAGATAGCTCCGTACCATCCGCGGTCGAACGGGCAAGCCGAAAGATTTGTAGACACACTAAAGAGAGTTTTGAAAAAAAGCAGAGGACATAGTGACAGAAAAAGCTATACAGCAGTTCCTCCAAGTATACAGAATAACCCCTAACGGGAACACACCATCTGGTCTTTCCCCAGCGGAAGTGATGTTTGCCCGAAAAATACGGTTTGTGTTTGCCTAACAAGAATAAAAACCGGCATACACCTATAGTACTCAAGAGATCATTCAAACCAGGTGAACGGGTCTATTTGGGGATGTTTAGGAACAATATGGCTTACTGTGAACCGGGTACAATAATTAACAGACTAGGAATCGTGATGTACATAATACAAGGAGAAAAAATTACTCACAGAATACATATTGACCAAATACAAAAAGACGGGTTGAAGTGCAAAGCTGGTCACCTGCTGAAAAGGATGATTTGATGGAGGCGATCTGTGAAGCTTTTTATATTCAAAGACCACAAGAAGAGTCAGAAATTAGAAGGACTGTCATGAAAAGAAAATTTACAGAAATCTGATTATCGATCATAAAAGTAAAGATATTAACTCCCCGCAAAAACGGATCTAAGGAGGGGGTGTTGAGGGGTTCTCTCCTTTTTACACAAATGGACTCACCCAGTATATATATATATATACTACTCCTACGCGAAGACCGGAGAGAAAGGGAGAGTCAAAGGTTGTAGGTAACCCCGGAAGATTTAAAGGTTGTAGGTAACCCCGGAAGATTTAAAGGTTGTAGGTAACCGACACAAGAACCAGAAAGAAAGACGAACGAGCATGAACCAGAACGAACGTAACGAGCAAGAGTCACAGTGAGCAAGTACGTAGACTCAGTGAGATGTCATACAGTGATAGATCGATACCAAAGACTGTGTATATATATATATATATATATATATATATATATATACACACATTAAGAATTGGACAATTTATATATTTTATGTTTAACATTCTTTTTATAGATACAAGTATTTAAGTAAATGCTCTGTATATAATAAACAGTATTAAATAACATTTACCGACCTGAATGTCCGAGAAATTTTCATAGAAAATATTCGTCCTTTGACAGGATTCGAACCTGCATCCTATACGGAACCGTCATTTACGCTGACGTGTCTTAACCGACTCGGCCACAAAGGAGCGTTCAGTAGCCATGGTCGAATTTATATATATATATATTGCTACTAACCCGCATTACTGGAACTACTAACCTCCATTACCAGTTTGTATTATTACGTTAATACATTTATTTTCCTATATTCCTTCTTAGCGTTTGTTATTCATTGATACCGGATTTCATCTCAGAATCCACAACAGTTTCTAAACAGCACGGTAAACTGTGCTCTCGAGTTTTGAATTGTAGCCAGCCTTGATGAATGGGAAATTTGAATTCAAATCCGTGAAGCGATCACACCTACTCACAGACAATAAAAATAAAGTAATCTGTTCAAAGCCATGATTGACTATAAAATAATGATACAACGCATACTTATATATGTGTGTGTTGTGTGTTTGTGTGTGCGTGTATGTGCTGTGCGCGCGCGCATATGTCTGTATGTACATGTGTGACATGGTGCAGAATCCTGTTCCAGCCGCCACCATCTTGGCCCAAGCCACATGATAAAGTTGAATGTTGAGTCTCTCGGTAGATGAATGGAGGCATAACGAAGCCTTCAATAGAAATCACTCCAAACTCCTTGATAATCATCACTAAACTCATACAACCTTTCCTATGCCCAATTGACAGCCAAACACTCTTATATTTTCAATTGAAGCTTCCGGCGAATGCCAGGCAGTACATCAAGCCGTTTTAAAATTTTTGCCGTTTTGAATTGCGTCATGGTGCACTTTTTCTCACAGATAGTGCCCAAGTGACACTAATGAATTGATGGATACATATTTTAATACAAAATTTGTAGTACTGAAAATAGTAAATGTCGGATTAAAAATACTATATACATTTCTAAACAATTAATGGATTTATTTTTAATCCGATTCTTTATTACTTCAAAGGTTATTTTTAGTGGATACCTTTATCTAAATAAACGATCCGTTTTAAAACGGTGTTTATTTAGTATGCAGTCCTGCACACTCGAGAAAACAGGGAACATTTTCTTTATTAATTTCTCTCGGGTTGCGCAGTTCAGAAGACGAAAGGAATAAAAGGTCTGCTCCAATACAGGTATTCACCCAAAATTTAACGTTTGATGGAATACAAAATACAGTATGTCTGCATAGAGGTACAGATACTGAAAAACAACCGTGACCCGAACAAGAAAGGATCAAATTATAGTTTGTTTTTTTTTCTATTACCATTTGGTCATATTTGGGAATGTCGGTCGAGCTGAAAAAACTTCAGCCTCAGCAAAAAAAAAAAAAAACACATTTATGTGTCATCCTGGTTACAGTGACTGTAAGCACGCGCATGTGTTTGTGTGTGTCTTTGTGTATGCACGCGCTTGCGCATATAACTGAATACGTGTGTTTGTTGTTGGGTATGTGTGTTTGCGCGAAGGTTTATATTTTAATCTGTCTCTGTTCTGTGTGAACGTGTTATAAGTGCATGTCTGACTGTCGGACTGCCTTTCTCTGTGGACGCGCAAATATGATTTAGTACGAGAATTTGTACGAGCTGCTATCTATGTAAATACATACGCTTTATGAATCCCTATTTCTGCCGCTTTAAATAAATAAGTCTTAAACTTCTTTGAATTATTGATTTCATACGCTAAACAGATATGATTTTGCATGACAGGTTTGGCGAATCGTTTGCTGTACTTCATTAAACAGTGAACGTACATACTGAATTTGTAATCAATATCGCTGAAGTTTCGCAAATTTCTTTAAATAAGGCCAGCAACAAAAAAGAATGTGTAAATTTCAAAAAGTGCTTTATGAAAGAAGAAAATAAAGAAAAATAAAGCTAAACTACCAAACAGAAACTAAAAAAAAAAAGCCATGTAACAAAAGGAAAAAACGAGAATAATTTTATAAATAGATAAAATAGATGGGAAGAAAATTGTTGAGTTGGGGAAAGTTGAAGGATTTCGATTGAAACAAGGAAGCGTTTATCGTGCTGAGGTAGCGCAATTTTTTTGTTTATGGTATAAACCTCATCAAATTTCGTCCATCGTCGATCGTCTCCAGGAAAATTTTCTGCACAAAGTTACTTTATTACGGATTTATACTAAATGTATCTCGATTTCTCTGAAAATATTGTTCTCGCATTATAATTAACAGTGATATTACGATCTGTCCTCTCTGTATTTTTGGTACAATTATATTAAAATATTATTTCCACGATTTTATTCGGTGTTATTAAAGGTCACGTGACAGAGGATTTTTCTGTTTACTTTTTTATTGTTTTGTTAACAAAATTGAAATTATCTATTCTCTGCTAAGATTGGGACTAAAAGATTTTTAGATTTAGTCCAAAATTTATAAAGTAGTTTCACCTGCGCATTTGAAATTTTTGCGAACGTTACTGTAATGAAAACAGGACAAGAGATTCTGTCTAGTAATCGTTTATTCAATTAAGAATACTACTACTCATCATTATTTATTGTACTATGTACAAATGTGGCACAAGGCCAAAAAAGGGGGTTGGGGTAAAGGACGGTCATCACTTGTCTTAGATTAAAACTTAGCTAGCCACAACCACTGACCCTATCATACAGAACAATATTCCTTTCACCAAAACAACACATTTATCCATACCTTTCTTACTACATACACCAAAATGCTTCTTTGACTCCATGAAAAACCTAAATAATCCCCTTATGTACAAATATTGTCTGTGGGGGGAGGGGCATAAAAACAACAACTTCTAAAATGATCCCCAATGAATATATACAAAATGACAAAATATATTTACAA